AATTATTTCCAAGATATTTTCTTCCATCAAGCTCAATTAGACTTTGAATTTTCATATTCAACACACGTATGTTACGAGCTTCAATAAACACATAACAATTAACATTTCAGAGATGTTTTATCATCATTTCTGAGTGACTGTCAATTAGCAAGATTCTTGCCCTCCCCCAGGTGGCTGTCACTGTGGAATCCAGTGTGTGAGGCACTGCTATTTAAAGGTCTTCTGCTCGATTGAACATAATAGTCTACTATATCCTAGGGTTCTGTGGATGTTCGGGTTTGAATTTCCCTAAGTCAGGGGAAATAGTGGAAAAATACTCTACGGGTAAGGCCTGCTGCTAAAGAAGAGCACGTATTCTACTGTGCATGAAAGGAGAGAACGAGTTGTTGGGTGAGAACAGAAGCTGTTAATGTTAAAAGTGTGCTCTGGAGCTGGCTGGTGCACATGCACCCTTGGCTTTGCCCCCTTTACATCCTGAGCATCTGCAGTTATCCCAGACATCTCGGCGCCATTGAGTTAGGGTGAGTGGAACTGTAGAACGAACGTTAACCTTCACTTCCCTTGAAGGCGATTTGGAGAGTTTCAGTGTCCACTGAAACCCAGCTTCCACCGCCCTCCTGATCAGGTGTGGCTTCAGCCAGAGTCCCACAGCGGCAAGGAGAGTGGTGCTTCTTTCTTTTCCATATGAAAACATCCTGCTTCCCAGTTGTGAGCAGTCCAAGACAGTGTTCAGCGCATGGGCTCTGGAAGAAACGCTTGCGCTCCCAAAGCCCTATCCTGAAGCCTGTTCGCTGGCTCTGCCTTCTCAGACAACTTATTTGATCTCCCGAGCCTCTGTTTCCTAACCAGCAAAGTGTGGTAATAATCCAGTGTTTATCGCACGGTGTTCCCTCAGGTTAAGTGACACAGAACAGTCAGCGAACTGCTAAGTGAAATAAGAAGCACTACAATAAAAGCTCTTGCTTCAAAGCCTTTTCTATTTGAGTTATGCATCATTCTCAAAATATCCTGCTTCCAATTCCTATGCTGGGACAGTTCTGAGCAAAACAAAAAAGACTGCTCTTTTAGTTTATAAGCAAGAGTCCACAGGTAGATAGGCGCCTGAAGGTCAGTCAACTGCTTCTGTGAAGGGCAATGGCCCCCCATCTCCTCAGGCCTCGCCACTGACTGGCCCTTTCTAAGCTGAGGTTCAGCAACGCATTCTGACATAATTACCATCTTGGGCTGGTGCTTGCTTTTCCTATCCTTTTTGACTTTCTGTTGCTTAATGACTACACATCTGCAATGCTTATTTTTTTAGACTTATTTTTTATAATTTTTAGTACAGGGTTTTACAGGGTCTCTCTACACAGATCAGACTTGTAGTGATTCTCTTGTTTTCAGCCTCCCAAGGGCTGGGATTACAGGCATGCACCACCACACCCAGTCTCATTCCCCACCTTAGCGTGCCCCGGGGGTGAGTCCAGCGTGGCAGAACTGGGGATCAAATCCCAGCCACTGCACTCTGCCTAAACTACCTGGCCGGCCCTGTGATTCCTATTTTTAACAAACATTAAAACCTGACAGGTGGCATCTCTTAGGTAACAACCATTGGCTAATATGAGTCTCAACAGGTATGTGTTTAAAAAAAAAAAAAAAAGGGACACTGACTTATTAGGGAAGATTGCCAGATGGACTGTGATTAGGATGACGTGTACTGAAAATGCTGTGACAGGAACAGAAGATGCCAGGCCCACATAGCACTCTCAATGGAGGGGACCGGGCCCTAGAAGTTGCACAACAGGCATGCATAGCAGCGACCATGCCAAGATTCCGCTTCAGTCGCATGGAGTGACCTTCTTGGAAGTGGGTGAATTTGCCCGGTTATTTCTGGCAGCAGTTCCGGTTCTCAGGCACTTTATGCTACCAGTGGCCTGCTAAAGGAAGAAATATGTTGTCTGCCTGATAACAAGACCTTCATGACGAACACGCTTCTTGAAAGATGGAAGGGAGGGACCTGTGTACATTGCACCGAAGAGGACAAAAAACTAAAGTTCTGCAAGAAAGCAGAGCCTTTGTGCCATGTGCCCCAAAAATGAGAAAGGAGGCGAGTATGTGCACATAGCCACACACCACCATAGTTTTTCTTTTTTGGTACTGGGGATCAAACTCAGGCCCTTGTGCTTAGGCACTTAGGCCATTGAGCTATCTCTCCAGACCGTTATGGCATCGTCTTATTTATCATTATAAGATATCTACATTGACTATGAAGAAGAGCTATTGATCTTTAAAGACACAATATTGTCATTTTGGAGAACAGACTTAGGAAAGACTGTCTCTTCCCTCCCTTGCCTTTCCCCCATTCTTGTTTTCTGACTTATTATGCATTTTTTGTTAATGATGTTAGGGAAATTTCAGCTTTTGGCTTTTCCTTAGAGGCAGGCCAGTGAGTCCCTTGTTTCTGGCTCCACCTCCACTCAGAGCCACAAATTATTTTCCTAGCACTCAGGGCTTTTCTCTCCCGGATGTCTACCTATGCCGGAGAGCTTCAAACCATGGCTGTGAATTTCTGCCGAGGAATCCTGCTCGTAGGCTTGCCATTCGGTTTGTAACTTATGCCTTCTCTCGTCATCTATACCCTCGACTGTTACTGTTTCTCTGTTTTTTGCCCACACGGTTACCTCCCTTCTTACTGTGGGACATGTGCGACAAGCCCCAAATATGGTGTGCTTATTCTTTACCTTAAGACTTCAAGGGAGTAAGTGCTGCGTGGAATGAATCCCAAGGTTCTTGCTAAGATGTACAAACTCTTTCCTACTCTAGCCTTTTCCCGTTTAGCAGGAATCCAGCAGCCCCATGCTCCCGCCCCTTCAATGCTCTTGCCATCTTCAAAACCTACTCTGCTCTTTCTAGCTTTCATGCTCTTGAAAACTTCTTCCTCTGCTGAGAACGCCCTTTTCATCTAGGCCCAAACTACCTATCACCTGAGTTCCGGGTTGTTGATACCCAGTTGGGGGTACTTTCCGGGGAGTTCTGGCCAGCTTTGGAACCTGTGCCCTCTTTGGGTTCAACAATAGACGCTGTGCAATTAAGTGAGGAGCTTATGGCAGTCATTGCTGCCTCCAGCCTCCATCCAGAGTCCCCGAGGCCCAGCACTAACCACTGTTTTCATTACCTGACACAGTTGTGGCCTCTAGTGGCACTTGATAAATGTTTATTGATAGAAAAACAAATTGACTGATTTTTGTAAAAGCTCCTTAGGAAGTAGGTTTGTCTGCAAGAATAGCCTGGACTTTTAAGAATGTATCAGTGGGGAAAAGCAGTTAATTAGAACTAGGACAAGACCCTAGCGGTGACCTGCTTCAATTGATAATCGTATACCTTCAACATTGCAGATATAAAATTTCCCCCTAAACTTACTGGGGGACAGAAGGCATTGGAACCTCTGCAAGCTCTAATCCCAAGTTCCAGGGCTTTTTTTGATGCATCCATCCGAAGTGTCTAAAATAGGAATCATTCACAATATTCTCATACCACTGATGTAACCGCCGTAGGGATGTGGGTAATGCTGCTGGTCAGAAAACTGTGAGTTACTACAACTGAACTCTGACTCTGAAATAAAAACAGTCATACTTGACCTCTAGACAGCAAATCAGTTTGAAAAAGACTGATTACACATGTCAAGAGCACTGCACACGAGAGTACTGGGAGTCACAGGAAATTACAGGAGGCCGGGAGCCACAAGTGGGAATTCAGGGACAATCCTATGCAGATCATCAGAATAAACTTAGGGCTGCTCAGTTTAGCAGTGTGAACCCTGGGAGGCTGAGGCAGGCAGATTGCATGTTGCAGCTCAGCCTGAGCAACTTAACAAGACTCTGTCTCAAGATAAAAAATTAAATAAATAAAATTAAAAAATGAAACACCTCAAACGGGCTCAGGTTGTCACTTACGGCAAAGGCCTGGGTACAATCCCTTGTATCACAAATTGACAACAGCAACAATGACATAATAACACGTAGTCCTTTGGTCTGTCCATGGTTGCCTGTGGCCAGCCTATCCTGTGGGGTCCCCATGTTCTTCCTCTGTGTGGCTCAAGCTTGGGACCACGTAGGAAAGGCTGGTGTCTCAGGATCCTCCGATCTTCCAGCCGGGTCTTCCCAGAGGGCCAGGGACAACTGAAAGCAAATGGAAACAAAATTGTAAAATTCCATTGCTGTCCAATCTTAGGGAAAAAAATTAGAATTTGGGAGTAAAAATATACTTAATTTTAAAAAGATAGATATGGGAAGTAGTGAGTTAGATCTTTTGTAAGAAGGAAGGTCACCTAAGAGATGGAGGTAAGGGGAAGGGCTCAAATAAGAATTAAGACGCGGCACGTCGGTGGGCCAGTTCTCCACGAGGAATCGCTATGAACTGCAGACATGAACCAATGAAAATAAAATGTTACATAGGAAAAAAAGAGATTATCTATGTTATTCTCAGGCTTGAAAGTATTCAAATATTCACTGCTATAATTAAGGAAAGAATTTATTTTCTTAATTTTACAATAAGCTGAGTGCGTATTGCATACTAGGAACATCATTCTGGTTACAGATGAGGAAGCTTGAAGTGGCAAAAATTGGCCCAAGCTCTCAGATGAGGAGACAGGGCCCGAGACCTAGGTTTATGGGCATCGTAATCCCTCTGCTCTGCTCTGGCTTTCCTTAGACTGGTGAAAGCACTCAGGGCTTTTTATGGTAGCAGAATTAATCTGCCCGTGCCAGGAGGAGTGGGAATCCCAGCCGACAGTGGCCGGGGACCGCTCTGCACGAGGCAGAAGGTTCAGTTCTAGTTCTGGCGAAGGCCTGGAAGCATTTCAGTGGGACTGGTGGTGAGAAGGGGAGAAAATGAAGGATTTATTCGCTGCCTGGGCTGTGTGCTTGCTCTTTCCATACGGCGTCTCATCTCTGGGGCTCTCATCCCAGGGCCTGCATCACGGATGGCAGGGATCCCACCTGAACAGAGATGGGCAGGCAGAGTTTCTGTTTATTCTAGGAGACCTTACCTTTGGAGGGGTAAGACTGCACACCAATAAATAGCCTGCGCAATCTGCTGCAGGAATTTCCTGCTGAGTGACTGAGCTGGGACACCAGGCAAACCGCTGGCTATTCAGGCAGCACTGTGTTCACCACGACTTGCTGCAAGACCCTTGCGCTGCTCTGCGGGCCGCTTCTCCGCGACCAGTCGCAGATGCTGCCCATCTCAGCCATCCTGCCTCGAGAAGCCTGCTGGACTCACTGCGCCCACACCCGAAAGCGCGGAGCCATCCCCACGTCCCCCTTCGGAGACACTGTGGGGACTTTCTCAGGACTGCGTTCCCTGGCCAAGCCGCTTGGCTCTGGTGGGTCCACAGACAGGGGATTCGATGGCGGGGAGGGCAGCACTGGGCATTCTCAGTCTCTTAATGTGGAGGCTGAGACTGTGGCAGACTAAGTCACATTGCACTTGTCGACACTGTATGCCAATAAACTTGGCAGAAGCGGAGGCATTAAATCTAGATGTCTGCTCCCAGGACACATTACTGCTGAAGCCTTAAGTTCCTGGCTGGTCACAGCGGGGAACCCACAGGCCTGAGGAAGAGGAGCATTTTGCCTTGCTGGTTTTCACTGATAACAGCAAATGTAGCCATTACTTAAGCCGCAGGATTTTTTTCCTCCCTCTACTTTCTTCTGTCTTATGACTCTAGCTAAATAAATTGCAAGTATAGCAGAAAAGGACCCTGTAAGATCAGTTTTTATTGTATAAAGGCACAGGGTTAAACGCACCACTTAAACCACTCTAAGTACATGATTTGGTGACAATGAGAACGTTACAAGGTCGGGTGAGTGTCATTAAAATCTAGTCCCACACATTTCCATCACCCCAAAAGGAATCCCGGTCCCCACTAAGCAACAACTCTCTATCCCCCCGACTAGTCTCTGGAAACTACTAGCACACATCCCGTCTTTGAGACTCTGCGTGTTCTGACTGTGACACGATGCTGTGGTCACACATACGACCAGTGGGCTCACAAGACCACATCACCTAGTGACATGGTAGCCATCTTACTTTGGGTCATTATCCTCCGGGATGTTCTCATAACCATGAAATTGCCTGAGGACACACTTCAAAGAATGTACCTCAGTTATCTAGAAGTAGGCGGTTGTTTTTCTTATAAATGGAACAATGCAATGTGGGTTCTGGCTTCTTTGACCCAGCAAGCTGTTTTCCAGGTCATATCAGATTCTGTGTCCTGGAATATTTAAGGTATATTTTGGACAGTGATTAGCAACAAAGTAGTAAGCCAAATGCATTAATTATTATGAGTGAGAGTGTTTTCCTACTCTCAGGAGAGAAGTGGTCTCTTGGTAACAAAGAGAGGGGAAAAATCTCGGCATCTTTTGGCCGCTTGCTGTAAGGAGGAGCGCTCGGTCCCTCCCAGCCCGCTCCGGGCCGAGGCCAGCTGGAGCCCGTCTGCAGAGTTGGCATGAACACGGCGTGTGGGGTGAGAAGCCAGGCACCCAGGTTTTTGCAGGCCTACCCAGCCCTGGGATGTACCTGGGGACAGCAGGGTGAGCTGCAGACGCAGTCTAGAGACTGAGTGACGTGAGACTCCGGGTGGATTCCATCATACGGGGAGAAGGGCACGAAGCTGCTGGCGCATTTTCCTGCCCACCTGTGGAGGGAGACCGTGCCCGCTTAACTTCTCCAGCAAGTGGAAGTCGGTCTTTCCAGTGAGACCCTGCAGCTTATGCCCGCCTTCTGTGCTCTGGGGAGACGCTGTTGGTGAGCCTGCGTAGACTGAAAAGGACGCTCTTCCTGAATAGTTCTGATAAGAATGCAGAAAAAAAATGTAGGCTGCAGCTCGCCCACACTTCTGTATCAGATGCCTCAAAATGTCACAAAAATATGCGCCTAATACTATCACATTTAAATTATGATTTGATGCCAGAGATGAACATAACTCTTTTTTTCTAGTGACAGCTCAACACTTAGAAAATTTACTTCATAATTTCCTTTCCCAGTTAACGTCAAATTGAAAATTGATGCTTGATATATTTATGAGTAGGAAGTTTTATGCCTTTTCCTTAGAGAATTTCTTTTTCTTTTTTCCCCTCTCTGGGTTTTGCATGATATGGGAAATACAAATATAAAAAGTAATGCATTCATTTCTTCTCCTCTTCTCAACTTTTACGATGAAGGCAAAGGGTCACAATGAGTTCAAAAGTATTTATCTTATAAATACTGCATAGAAAATCATAAATCGAGATAAATGTCACTGAAGCCACTGAGATATATGATCAGTCAATTTATGAAGCAGCTTAAAATACAGACACTCTCTACAGTATTAAAATTGTTATGAAATTTTAAAACATTCTCTTTCTTTCAAACATCTGAGTGAGGATCTCTTGAAAAATGACTGTGACACTTTTCACGTGGAGATACACGTGTATCAGTTTGAGGTGATGGTTATAATCTTTTTCCTTTTGTAATATTGACAGAGATGGTAACTCAAGAATAAGATGATTCCTTCCTGTAAAAAGTAGATGGGCAACTACAGTGTTTTAAAGGCTTCTTCCATTCCGAGATTACGTGAAACTAGCTCTGTGTTAATCAAGAATTTTTTTTTTCTAAGCTAATAGGTTGACTTTGGTAAACAAAGATTGCCTATATAATTTATTGACTGTTGATGATGAGCAAAAGTTGGCCTACCAAATGTTATCGTGCCTCTGGCTATTAACTTCTCTGAATAGGATGCAACCTGTTTTTCCACAATTTCTTCAGTTTAAAACCCAGGATATAGCTCAGTGGCACAGCACCTGGCGGGGGTTAAGGTCCTGAGTTCGATTTCTGGTACCAAAAAAAGTGTAAGCCTTTATTTGCAGTCTAGCCTTCATTTGCGAATAATAGTATTTTGTGTAATATTACGTGGTAAGTTAAAAAATGTTTAATTATCATCCCTAATCAGTAGGTGACATTCCATAAAGGTGGGTTCCACAACTCAGTCTGCAATTTCATATTCCAAATTCCCCAGTCCAGAAAGCTATGAAGATAGAGATTTTCCATAACTCACTTGGCAGTTAGCCTGACCTTACTTGAACTCATTTGGCAGCAAAATGTGACTTGAACTGGCACAAGGCTATTTTAGTCACTATTTATCTGCGCACTTAGTATTAACAATCATCTATTTTGCAGCAGAGACATTAATGTTTGATCATAGGGTGCTGACCTAGACTGTGCTCAGGTGAGGGCACATAATATCTAGTATACACGATATCACCTCCAGAAAGTTTAAAAAATCTGAATTTCAAAACACGTTTGGGGCTGGAGAGATAGCTCAGTGGACTAAGCTCCTGCCTGGCAAGTGCAAAGACCAGGGTTCGATCCCTGGTACTTCATGTCATGCAGGCCCTGGGTACAGCTGTCCACCAAGACTGGGCATGGTGCACATGCCTGTAATCCCAGCACTGAGGAGGCTGAGACAGGAGGATCACTACAAGTCTGAGTAGTGAAACTCTGTACCAAATGCATAAAAAGAAACAAACAACAACAAAAAAACACATTTGGCCTCTTGGGCCCTTAGATAGAGCTTATAGATCTAGTCCATATATTTTACCTAAAATGATACACTGCATAGGTATATATAATTTCAACTTTAATATTTTCAATACTTGTTGGTGTATGTGGTCACTCTTAAAAAGAAAAAAAAGTCATATAGTAAATTAATTCTGATATTTGAAATAATGAACTTTTAAAAGTATTTTACTTCTTCCCTAGCAATCTTTCAAAAGTCTAGGTAGAAGAAATAAGCAAGAATGGATGCCTACAGGAAGATAAATATGGCATGATCCCACTACAGTGTAAAGTCTAAAAATATCAAACTCTTAGAAGTAGAGAGGGGACTGGAGGGGTCAACAAGGAAAAAGGAGATGTTGGTCAAAGGTACTGAGTAGGTCCAGGGGAGCAAGTTCTAGTGATCTACTGCGCCACATGGCGAATACATTTAGTTACAGTGCAATGTACAATTCAAAATTGCTAAAACAGTAGGTAATAAATGTTCTAATCACCCAGGAAGAGTCAATATATCAAGTGACGGATATGCTAATTATCCCAGTTTAATCATAGTACATGCAAAATATAAAGTACATTGTACTCCATAAGTATATACAATTATTTGTCAACTAAACAATAAAAATAAATGAACACAAAAATAAGCAACAGAAAAGTGTCCCTGCCTGATTTTGAAGATGCTCTACTTCATATACAGCCCAGCACTTGTAGGTAAAATAAGTGAATAGATAACTATATCATAATCACGATAGAGTAAAATGACAATATATTACTACACTGGTTGGAAACAAAAAGTCTTAAGTTAGTATAGTATACTAACATTTTATGACATCAATTTCTAACTTTGCTGTACAACTATGGGCTAAAATGTGTTAGGTTGAACCCAAGTCCTCAGTGCCACCACAAAAGTCCTAACTTTTCTTCCCTGGATAAATATGATTCTACCTTCTGACATCTGACCTTCAGAATTCCAGCTTAGGCTGACCCATGTGGCATTTCTGGAGGGACAGTTAGCTAAGATGGATCAGGCAAATGTACTCAGTGTGCTCAAGTAGGCAAATCAGAGGAAGAAAGATTTGAATGATGGCTAGATATATATGTAGTGTGTTTTAGGAAAAGGACCACTGAATGAAATGCAAGAAATGCTACTTACCTGTTAACAAGACCAACAGAATCAAATACTTGCTCTCATAATGCAGAAAGTAAACTAGGAGCCTTTCAACAGGAAATGTATTTCCATTTCAGAATTATAGGGGAGGCAGTAAAATAGCTTCCTTTCTCCAAGACCTCTATTAACTCAGAAATAATGGATGAGAACAGAGGTACGAGGCCCTCATAAAAGCACAGCCAGGTCAACAAGACTTGACCATGACTTGCAGAGCTGTCTTAATTTCCAAAAAAGGAAAATGTGTCTGTTGGGAAGTTTGGCAGGGTAACAGGTAAACACATAATTATTGGTCATAGTAAAAGGAGAGGGAGAGAATCAAATGTCAGTCCTGCTCACGCAAGCCCTGTCTAGGGGAGAAAGGCATGCTGGTCTCAAAGCCACAGTAGACATGGACGGGCTGGGAAATCCACACACCCAGCTCTTTGTTCTCATCCCGTGCTTGCTAACATCCTTTTCCTTATAATGATCTTTCCTGGATGTGGAGAGAGGATGTCCCAGTATGCTCAAGTGTGTGACACAGGTCTTGTGACAGCTATAATGTGAATTAAGGTGGGTTTCTGATTTGAAATAGCAATCTCGGGAACTGACGCAGAGAAATACATCTGTACCAAACAGCCCGCCTGCAAGGGAGTTCTCCCTAGTGAGCTGCCTTGCTCCCAGCTTCCCAGCCCTGCACTCCATGGGAAGTGTCTCATAAATAACCATCCCCGTAAGGTAATACAATAGCATGCTACTTAAAGTGAATTCTGCTTACTGCTTCACACCTGACAATATGGGTGCATGCAACAGAAAGAGGAAAGAATAACGAATAAAGTTGTAAGGCTTTGTCCAAAGGAATTGTGGCAGTCAAATGTCCCTGGGAATGACGACAGGTTCCACACAAACCCCCCTCTTGCAAAGGGAAGGTAGTGAAGACAATACTTAGGGATCTGGTACAAGTGGAAAAGACCGGAGAGGGATGCACAAATGGTGATAGGGTTGTGCTGTGTTCACTCAGATTACATTGTTAATGGATATATTAAAATTTCTTGCAGTACAGACTAAGGAAATACGATTTAAAGCAGAAATTTACACAGTAGTGAATGGTCATCTGATTCTTATAGACATGCTGACTGTGGGGTTCCAGTGAGAACATCTGGTCTGGTGGCAAGGGCTTTTTCCTCTCTCTCATAGGCAGGGAGAAAGATAGCTCTAGATCTCTGTTCAACAGGATAAAAAGCCCATGTAGAAAAATTACAATAAGTGATGAAAAAATCAATTATTTGTATACATTGATTAATGGCCTAGAACCTAGAACATATGGTTCTTTTTTTTCAGTACCAGGGATTGAACTCAGAATCTGGTGCTTGCAGGCAGGCACTTGTTCTACTGAGCTATCTCCCTGACCCCTGCAGTTCTTATCTAACAGATCTAGTGAAAAGCCTATTTTTCAAGAAAGAGATGGGTAGGCCAGGGAGATGGCTCAGTGGAATAAGTGCTTGCCTGGCAAGCACAAGGGCCTGAGTTTAATCCCCAGTTCTGCAAAAAAAAAAAAAAAAAAAAAAAAAAAAAAAACCTCTTTTGGGGGCCAGGGAGATGGCTCAGTGGAATAAGCGCTTCCCTGGCAAGTGCAAGGGCCTGAGTTCAATCTCCAGTTCCACCAGATAATAAATAAATAAATAAATAAATAAATAAATAAACAAATGAAAAGAAAAAAGAAATGGGTGAGAACCATGTATGACTTTCATACTCATTGAATTAATGTTGCTTAGGTAAAGAATTCCAGCACTGCCATTTCTAGAAATAAACTTATTTCTTAGAACTATTTGGTAAAATCCTCTCCATTTCCTGTGATACCAGCCCCATGTTTATTGAAATTTGAACTTTTGTACTTGCCTTGGAGACACTGCTGTTGGGTAGTGAAACAGTGGATCCACAAAAAAAATGGTGTTAGGTCACATGTTCCTGTAGTGCCCAGCTCTAGTTAAGCCTTGGGGTTGTTCAGATCTAGACTGGCTCCCAAAGCCACGTGTGTGAGGAGCTCAGTCTCCGGCCTGCACTTAGGGAAGGTGGTGGAGCCTAGGTAGAGCCTAGCGGGAGAGCAGCAGGCA